ATGCATGTTTCTGCTCAGGACAGCAAGGACGCCCCCGCCGGTCACGTCCCTTCCGGGCCTCTGTCATCCGCTGCCACGTCCCCAGTCCTGCTCCCCGCTCTGCCCAGGAGAACTCCTAAACAGCACTATTGCAACACATGTGGCAAAACCTTCTCCTCATCCAGTGCCCTACAGATTCACGAGAGAACTCACACTGGAGAGAAACCCTTTGCTTGCACTATTTGTGGAAGAGCTTTCACGACTAAAGGCAATCTTAAGGTACCTGCCTCCACCGTGCACCTCAGCCACCCCACCGGCCCGTGTCTCCCCGCCACGGATTGCCTGTAATGCATGCGGCCCGAGATGCAGAGAGGGAGAGAGGTTCTCAGGAGGGGAACCTGCTGCTTGCACCTGCCTGGGGAGGAGCGGGGGACGCCCTTGAGGGGCAGGATCATGGCCAGGACAAGGGCAGCCTGCAGCTCGCTGAATGTCAGAGCGCATTGAGTAATTTGGTACCTAAGCGAAGCAGCGGCCTCTCCCTGTTGTCTCGCTAAGTGCACCAAATGAATTGCTCTACCTACCCAGGAAGACAGCCTGGCGTTGCCACAGGGCATTGATTAAAGACCTCCACGTGGCCTGTGCGCTGGCTGCATCACTTAATAATTGCGGCTCGCCTCGGCGTGTGCATCTATTTTTCACAACCACGCACTCCAGCGTGGTTTGCTCCTCTAAAAACAGTAACGTCACTGGCTCTGCTAATGGGCATGATGATAATTGATTAGACAACATTTCCTACTGATAAGTGTTGGAAATAAAGCAAATATGCGTAAGTTCCGGAGCAACAGTTGAGCGCTCTGACTGTGTACATCTCTGTTGACAGAGTCTCTCTCTGGAGATTGCTGCCAGTAATGTGAGATGAATAATTACTTTCTGGCCTTTTTTTTTTTTCCCCTAGCCACACACGGGGCCCTCCAATGGGCAATCAGCAAGGGGTGCTTTTTTCCCATCTGAAAAGGACATTTATAGGGTAAAGGGTGTCAGATACAATCCTTACCATTGCAATGAGAGTGGACATAACAATTCGCGCCCTGCAAGGCGCTATCTGCCGGTGGCTGGCTTGTTGGAGGCCATTATAAGCTAAATACGGGCAATAAAAAAGGAGTAAGTAAGGCATCTCGGCCGGGGAAGAGGCAAGACAGGCCCTGGGCCGTCGAGGGCGGACACGTTATTAAGAGTGGCCGCGAGTGCAGAGTTGCCGCTGGCCTTTCCACTGTCTGGCCCGTAATAAGAGTAGACGTGCAGGCCCCTTGCTTTGTCGCGTCCTGGGATATGAGCTGAGACAGATGCAACTATTAAGCTTCTCTTCCTTCCTCTCTCCTCCCTCCCTTCTTCCTCCCTCCCCCCACCCCCACGGCAGGTTCACATGGGCACTCACATGTGGAACAGCACCCCGGCGCGGCGGGGCCGGCGGCTCTCCGTGGACGGCCCCATGACATTTCTAGGAGGCAATCCTGTCAAGTTCCCAGAAATGTTCCAGAAGGATTTGGCAGCCAGGTCAGGAAGCGGGGATCCTTCCAGTTTCTGGAACCAGTACGCAGCCGCACTGTCCAACGGGCTGGCCATGAAGGCCAACGAGATCTCCGTCATTCAGAACGGTGGCGTCCCTCCAATTCCTGGAAGCCTGGGCAGCGGCAGCAGCTCACCTATTAGCGGGCTGACGGGGAACCTGGAGAAGCTCCAGAACTCCGAGCCCAGCGCGCCCCTGGCCGGCCTGGAGAAGATGGCCAGCAGTGAGAACGGCACCAACTTCCGCTTCACCCGCTTCGTGGAGGACAGCAAAGAGATCGTCACGAGTTAAAGCCACCGGGGCCGCCACCTCTGGTGGCCTCCTGCCCCCCACCCCGGCCCCATGCCCCTCACCCCCTAGTCACCCCAGCTCTATGGACCACGACATTCTGAAGACATTCTTTTGTACCTTGTTCAACTTCTAGAGTTCTAAGAAAGCTTATTTATTAGTGATATAACCTTGCTTTGCAAACAGAATGCAAGCGTTAACTTTGGTCTTCTATATTTTGGACTAAATACTAATTGACTAAGAGTGCTGTAAACTTGCTGTAACATTTATGGCAATTTCGAGTTGCCCTCCTAGGCGGTCTTAATCTGGCATTAACTTATTTTCTATATCCAGTTTAATATGAATCCGGTGTTGATGCAATGCCACAGTGATGCATTAGGTCTCTAATAAAGTCTGTATATAAATGTACACTTTGATCCTGCTGAAAAATTTTATCAGCAAACACATTGTCTAATCTTTCGAAACAGATTCAAGGAAAGGACTAGAAGTACAGACTGAGCAGTGTGGGTCTTTGCAAGGTTTGGGTTTTGTTTTGTTGTTGTTGTTTTTTGTTTTTTTGTTTTTTTTTTTTTTACTTTTATTCTAAAATTCAACCGCTTTTTTTTCTTGTTTTGTTTTGTAGATTTAACCATTTCCGTTTGGAACGCTATTTGTATTGTGCTTTTTACTTGCGTCTTCCCTCAATGTTAATAAGTTTCTGTATAGTAATAAGCACGCAGAATTCTTTAGAGAAAAAAACAAGTGTTGTTTTGGTAGCCTTGTAGGTATATTCACAATAGAAAATGTGTGCTGGAATTTCACAATGCTGCTAAGTATAGCATCTTGAACAACCTTCCGTGGAGAAAAATGTAGATGCTCTTGTATATACAATAAGAAATATCACTCTCATTAAAATGTACAGATGGTCCCTACAAGAGCAAATGTTTCTTCTTGATCGAGAGCAGGTATAGTGTTTGTTTATTTTGTATTAGGTATGGAAGAAGAAAAAAATTGGACTGTTACATGCACTTTCTTGGAAAGTTGAAAGGAAAGGGGGAGGGTCCAGTTTCTTTAACATTTAATACTTACTAACAACAGAGATACTGTAATTTTACCCAAGTAATCAAATACATTTTTTTTTTGCAACAGATAAAGCAAAATCCCGTGTCTGTGTTTTCAGAGTACATTTTTCTATGTAGCCAGGCCCCTGACCCTTGTCAGGTATACCCCAGGTACCAGTGACCTGTGCAGGAGAGCGCGCGTGCGCCCCCTCTCTGCGTAAGCCATGGGAAAAGGCCTAACAGAAACAGGGTTTTACAAGGCCTCGCGTTTCCTTTATTTTCAAAACTGGGGGCTGGCCGCCCAAACCTGGTTCGGGAGCGCATTTAGTAATCTCCCCACTCCGCTCTCCCGCCACCGCCAGCCAAAGCAAAGAGAGACAAAACTTGAAGGTTGCACCCTGCAGGGATTTCGCTCTCAGCTTTCGGCCAGCCGCGGTGGCTTCCCGGACTCCACTCGGACCGAAGGCGGCCGAGAGCCTCGTCCCCGCGCCCTCGCGAGGCGGCCGCCCGGGTGCCACCGTCTGACTCACACACTGGGCCGCCACCCAGCGAGGCCGGCGCGCGCGCGCTCGCCTTGGGCGTCCAGGCACTGGGGCGCACATGCGTGTTTGAGAGACACAGTACAGGCTACGCAGAGGCGACTTGAGTTATCTCCTCGCGAACATTCTGGCCGAGTCTTCCTCTCCCCGCTTTTGTCCTAGCTGGAAAGGCGTCCCTCCTGCGTGCGCCGTCGGGGTGGAGGCCGCGTCTACACCAGCGGCGATCCCCCACCCCCACCCCGCAGGGAAGGAGCGGGAGTCGGGGGCCGCCTGCACGCACCGCTCATTGGACCTCAGCGGCGCCCGCCCAGCCCCGCGTTCCGGAAGGTGCGCGCCGACCCCAGCCCCGAACCGTGCCGGGTGAGGGCGGGGATAGAGGTGCGCGCGGCATCTGGGTCGCAGAATTGTCCCCAAAACGCAGAGGACGCGATTTCTCGCTCCCGCGTCCCCGCCGCCCAGAAGTGACCCTCTTTCTCCCCGGGAGATAAGCGCGGGGTCTCGCGGGGCCCAGGGGGCGGGCCTCGGTGCACGGGCGGCACCCTCCACCTCCCACCGCTGGGCGTGGCTCAGAGAGGGCGCCCCGGCGGGGACGACGCCCGAGGACATCCGGGGTGGCCCCCAGCGCCTCGCCGGCCCCTCCCCAGCGGGGTCCAGCCGGCGGCCCCCGCAGCTGGACTGCGCTCTTGCCCGCGGCCCGGCGACCACCCCCGAGCCCGGAGCTCCGCGCTCCGGGCAGGGCGCGGGGGTCACGGCCCTGCGCCCCCGGGGCTGCGCGCGGAGGCGGGCGCCGGGGCGGGGAGCGCGGGCACTTCCCCTCGCGCCAGCCACCCCGCCCTTCCAGCGTTTTCTGAAAGTGACTTCAGGGAAGCCCAGTTGCTTTTCGATCAGATTTTTGGAGGCAGCCGAAGCCCTTCGGGGGAAGGTCGGAGCCTGGGTCTCTGCCCCCGCCTCCCCTTCCCTCGCCCTTTTGTCCCTGCCTGTCCATTTATCGACCCGCTATCTTTCTGATCTATCGATCATTACCTGCCCGTGCGTTTCCAAAACAAGAACTCGCCCTCGGCCCCGCGGCTCCTCCCAGCGTGAGCAGCGCGCGAGGCGTGGGTTTGTGTTTGCCAAGCCGCGGGGGCTCCTGGCAGGTCGAGGCCGTGCGCGCCCTGCCCCCACGCCCGCCGACCCGGCCCCTGCTACCCGCTGAAGCTTCGGGGGTCCCGGTGGCTTTGGAGGCAAAAGTCTCTGAGCGCTGAGAAGGCGGCTCGTCGGCGCGTAGGTCGACGGCTGAATTCTCCGCATTTGGGAACTAAATATATGTACTTGGTGACATTTTTTCCCCAGCTCGTTGGCTTTGATGTGTGAACGGTTGGAAAAATCTTCACAAAACCCCTTGAGCCTACTACCCCAAATTTACAAACGTTAGCAACTTCCCGTTCTTCTTTTTGTTTTGTTTTGTGCTTTCCTGTCTCTCTGTGTCGCTGTCATCCTCTCCTCTTTCTGGGTTTTTCCTTCCCTGTGTTCCTTTGTGTTAGTTTCTTCTTCCCTCTCCCTTCATCTGCACTGTTCCACAGCCCCACCCTGGGGAAGGACACTCACAAGCTTCCTTCCTTCTGGAAAATACAGGAGTCCTTGGAAGAGCAGTTTGGTGATTGACAGGGACCTGAGCAAGGAAAGAAAAAAAAAATTAACAGGAGCAATGACAGACCCAGGCTGCCAGAGAGAGAGAGAGAGAGCGCGCGAGCGAGCAGTTGGAGCTACCTGACGCCAACCTGGAGCTATGAGTCTCATATCCCGGCATTCACAGCCAGGTTCATTCCTGTGGCTTTCAGAGGGTGGCAGAAAGCGACATTTTTTACATAGAAAAAAAAGGGGGGGAACAAAATCCTAAATGATTTGCAGTTGACATAAATTTCTAGCAGTAGATTATTTGCTTATTATTTTTGGCATGGTGCGAGTGTCAAGAATGAAAGAACTTTCAAAAAAAAAAAATCTCCCACTCTGTTAAAGCTTCGCAGTCCCGTTAGAAAAATAAGAAAGCAAGGGGCTTTGGCCAAGGGGTTACCCACTCCACCCCCAATGAACAAATGTCAGAGAGGTAAGGAGGGGGGATGCAAAATGAATTTCAAAGGGCTCCACAGCAAAGGGCAATCTGAGATTCACAGAAAAGTAGAGGCGGATAAGACAGCAATTAGGTCATCTCATCCAGACCCCAGGAAATATGTTTAGATCAAAGCCTGCTCGGTCAGAATAAACAGAAGGGGACCGGACTGGGCCCTCCCAGTATTTTCATCTCAGTGCTAGGAGCTGCTAATCTAACCAGTTCTATCTGTTGGAGAGGCGGGGGCGGGGGGGGGGGGGGCGGCGGAATTACAACTGAAAAAGTGACTAAGTGAAAAAATGCTCTCTGCACTTTGGGAAGATGTAGATTCAGATTTGAGCTAACAAGTCACAAGATCCAGGCCCAGAGCAACACAAACTTCCTGGAATTTTAGCACCAAGTCAATTATCTAATCCTGGCCCATTGTCCCTTCCCTGTCACCTCCCCCAACCCCATGCAACTGAGGATGCCAGAGAATTGACATTTTAAGAAATTGTTAAATTTTAACTGCAGTCTAAGAACGTTGCAGGCAGCCGGCTTTTGGGTTCACTTCCCTGCCGCCTGCCCCCTCCCCCGCCCCCGGCAGGCAGCAGGACAGCGTGCTCCCCCCGTGCTGTGTGTAGGGGTCTTCAAACCCCACCGTGGGGGCCCACTGACGGATGCCAGGAGCTCACGGCTGCGCAGAAGCCTGGCTTTGGAGACATGCGGTCCGGCAGCCGTTTTGATATTTTAACAGCTGAGCCCAAGTCCTGCATAAGGCTTGCTTTCACCGCAGAGCTGATGGCCTGAAACCAGCTGCTAGGGAACATTCGATAGATAGAAACATCCAGAAAAGGGACAGGAAATCCCACAGAAGGAAAATTCACCCAGGCTAAATCCAGGGTTGGAGTTGCTTGCTGAGCCTGGTTTCCTCTTGAACTGTTTAAACATATGATTTGGCTCCTCTTGTGTTTCTACGTCCATCTGAGCTCGAGTTTAAGAGCGACTCCTGGACCGAGTGTCAGCTTGGCTCCAGGGCCCTGGGCGGCCGGCCGGGGACGATGCCGGGGCTGGGGGAGGTGACCGGCCATCTTCTGTGAGGGGCCACTTCCAGGCTCGGCACTTCACTTCCGGTCTGGGGAGGGCTTAGGAGGACGTGGAAGTTGAGGAACCGGGGTGGGGGGTGGGCATGGGGTCACATGATCTCGTGGTAGAGAGAACTACATTGGGGCAAGGCCCAGAGCAGCAGCCGTAACCAGGTGAACGGGCAGCCCCTACTCCTGCTATTAAGGGCAGGAACAGGAATGCTATAGAAGCCAACCTGTGGATGGACCTCCTGTATTCAGAACTGGGGGCATGACTACCTGTCTCATCTTGCTCATGATTTGTTAACGATCCATTTAACAGATGGCAAGGCTCAAGGAGCAGAGAGGAAACTCTGGCCACGGAGAGTCCTGGCGCTGTCACTAACTGTGACACAGCCTCCCCGCCCCTCTGCGCTCTGAGAAGTCCGCTGTCCATCGTATTTCCCGGCTGCTTCCTTCCATCCTCACTGTGCAGGGAGCACCAGCAACACTGTTACTTATTGACGATCTTCCCTGTTCTGGGAAAGGCTGGGAAAGTTGTCTCCAGTGGTCTTTCTGACCCTTCCATCTGAGAAAGACTTCCCCCAAATCAAAGCAGGGCCAGCTCGTCTTGCCACTTCACTCTGTGTGACTTTTAGAAACTCCACTCACCTGCTGCCTCTCGCTTGAGACAAGTGTGAGGACCGCGGAGTCGGAAAGAGCTTTATTTAAGCTCCCATCACCACCCCTGACCTTTGAACCTTCACCTTTGAACTGGCCTGGATTTTTTTCAAACTCTGCTTTGTGCATTAGGAAATGGGTACAGTGTGTCAGCACCAGTATTCTTTTTCAAAGTAATAGGTTAGAAAATAGCAGATTGGGGGCCGGTGCCATGGCGCACTAGGTTAATCTTCCGCCTGTGGTGTCGGCATCCTGTATAGGCACCGGTTCTAGTCCTGGTTGCTCCACTTCCAGTCCAGCTCTCTGCTGTGACCCAGGAGGGCAGTGGAGGATGCCCCAGGTGCTTGGGCCCTGCACCCGTGTGGGAGACCTGGAGGAAGCACCTGGCTCCTGGCTTCAGATTGGCATAGCTCCAGCCATGGCAGCCATTTGGGGAGTGAACCAATGGAAGGAAGACCTTTCTCTCTGTCTCTCTCACTCTCTGTAACTCTACCTGTCAAATAAATAAATAAAAATCTTTTTTTTTTTTTTTTTTTTTTTTTACAGGCAGAGTGGACAGTGAGAGAGAGACAGAGAGAAAGGTCTTCCTTTTGCTGTTGGTTCACCCTCCAATGGCCGCCGCAGCCGGCGCACCGCGCATATCCGAAGGCAGAAGCTAGGAGCCAGGTGCTTCTCCTGGTCTCCCATGGGGTGCAGGGCCCAGCACTTGGGCCATCCTCCACTGCACTCCCAGGCCAACCGGGACAGAATCCGGTGCCCCGACTGGGACTACCCGGTGTGCTGGCGCCGCTAGGCGGAGGATTAGCCTATTGAGCCGCGGCGCCGGCCAATAAAAATCTTAAAAAAAAGAAAATAGCAGATGATAGAACGTGACGTAGCACTCGGCAGTGTGCTGGCCAACTTTGTCCTTGGGTACTTACGTGCCCTGGGTCATGCTTAGCGTGAGATCCTGTCAGAAAAAATCTCTCCAAGTCATTGGCCGAGGCACTGAATGAAAACTATGCTTCTCCCCCGTGTTGTGTTGCAGCTGAACAGGAGTCAGGGGCTTTAGGGAAAGCTGTGATGACGGCGTGGGTTCCCAGGTCCCCTTTGCAATCACACATCCATCAACGCAGTTTTGTGAGTTGTGCTTCTGCAGGGAGAGAGAGGAGAGGCTGGCTTCCACATGCAGGATTTCAGCAACCGTGTGTCATCAAGGGGCTTTCTCCCTAAACACACACACACACACACACACGCACACACACTCACGGCTATGCATGGACACTTACCTAAACGTGCAGAGCTCGGAGTGGCTAGAAAGGAACCTCTTTGCATATCCAGAAGTTGGTCTGAGAAGCAGGACCTGAGTTATTTAGCTTTATCCCTGTTGATCTGGTCTGGACACGACTTGGCCTCTGTCAGACAAGATGCAATATCTCCACCCTGACTTTCAGTCCAACACTTATTTCAGTTCAAGTGCAGAAGTTCCGTTGTGAGCTCCCATGCTGGATGCCAGTTCTTCGGCCGCCTTTGCTCCGTGCTCTTTGCTGTGTGCCTTGCAATCCCTCCCCGCCACGGGCAAGAGGGACTGGCCTCACTTTGAGTCTGCCCGTGGCACTGGTTTTGGCCAGGAGAATGTGGCAGGCACTGCAGGCACCAGTTCCAAGCTCAGGCTCAGGACACCTGTGGTTTCCCTTCTGCCCTTGTGTTTCTGCCATCATCAAGAGTAGGACAGGGCAGCTGGGCCCCGGGAAGGAATGAGTGCTGTGGGGAGATCAGCCATCCCCACGGCAAGCCCAGTACAGGCCAGCAGAGCTGCAGCCAGCTGCAGGTTCCTAAGTGCACCCAGGGGGCACAGTCTGCCCATTGCTCTCCAGGAGTAAGGAAAAGGTGGTGATTTTATGCCCTGGAGCTTGAGCAGCTCCTTACTTAACACCACGGGGCCACAGTTCACCATCTCAATAAGATGTATTTAGCAAGTACCATATGCTAGGCTTCACTTGAATTAACTCCTTTAATCCCTGTGAGGCCCACAATTGACAGGTGTCGCTATGGAACCCATTTTCTGGGTAAGGAAAGTTAAATGCCACACACCTGGTAAGCAGCAAGACCTTGAACCCAGATCACCTGGCTCCAGAGCCCCTCTGCTGGGTTCTTAATCCTGATGCTACCCCTTTGCCCACTCACAAACCTTCCCTGGAAATTCACCGCCAGACCTCACGGCACCATAACATGGATACCTTTCAATTCTGCACCTCCCCGCCTTTCCGATGTTCTGCTTGACAAGGGGACTTCAAGGTCAGGGTGGTGATGCAGTGAGCTAAGCTGCTGCCTGAGACGCCGGCGTCCCGTGTCCGAGCACCAGTTCCAGTCCCTGCTGCTCCGCTTCCCACCCGGCTCCCTGCTAATATGCCTGGGAAAGCAGTGGATGATGGCCCAAGTGCCACCCACACGGGACACCTGGATAGAACTCTGGGCTCGTGGCTTCTGAACTCTGGCCATTGCAGCCATTTGGGATTGAACCAGCAGATGGAAGATTCTCTCTCTCTCTCCTTTGCAAATAAATACTTTAAGAAGTTTGTGGAAAAAATTAAAGTTTTTTTTGTGTTTTTTTGTGTTTTTTTTTTTATTTTTATTAATTGGAGAGGGAGAGAGAGAGAATTCCCGTTCTCTGGTTCACTCTCAAATACCTCCAACTCCAAAGGCCAGGAGAGGTCACAGCTGGGAGCTGGGACCTCAATCCTGGTGACCAGGACCCAACTACCTGAGCCATCCCTGCTGCCTCCCAGTGTATGCATTAGCAGGAGGCTGGATCAGAAGGGATGCGGGAGGCTGACATTGTGACACAGGTTAAGTCTCTCTGCTTAGAACGCCCACCTCCCATGCTGCTCCCTGCTTCTGGTCCAGCTTCCCGCGAATGCGCTTGGCAGGCAGCAAAGGATGGCTCAGGTATCTGAGTTCATGCCACCAATGAGAGAGACGTGGTTGGGATTTCCTGGCTCCTGGCTTTGGCCGGGCCCAGCCCCAGTTGTTGCAGATATTTGGGGAATGAACCATTTAACTCTCACTGTGTGTGTGAGTACATGTGTGTGTCACTCTGTCCTTCAAATAAATAATTCTTTTTTTTTAACAGAAAAGCAAAGCTGAGACTTCAACCCAGGAGTCCCAGTGGGCCGAACTCTCAGCAGTAACTTTGCTTTGGTGCAAAATTATTTGAAATCTACGGCTAGTGTTTTCATAATATACATTTTCCACGAGCCATTTGAAGGGTCTCGGTGTGCATAGATTTCAATTTTTTTTTTTGCATAAAAATCCATCTGTGTCCCGCCACCATTTTGAAGTTCCCACGTGTTTGTGGATGGCCAGAGAAGACTCCCCAGGGAGTCGCAGGCAGCCAACGTGTTCTCTAAGACATCCCTGACTGCCAGGAGAATGCTCCTGGCCAGAGTCCTGGCTGCTCAGCGTGCAGCACAGACAGAAATAGCAGGGATCCACACTAATTGTGGAGCCACGCGCTAATTCCAGTATCTTCCTTCAGCCCAATGAATGCTTTCTGCATGTGATAATCATTATCTCCCGGCCCAAGACCTTGTTAATGCGTAAAGATCACTGTAGTTTTGTATCTTTTCCATGGAGGAAATGGTTCATCTACCTAGGAGTGGGTGGCGCTTTCTCCCCCTCCCCCTTTCCCTCTCCCTTTGGAAAACAACTCAACTCTTCTTCCTTTTCCTTTTCACACACTGCTCGCCATGCACTGTGTCGCAGGTGGGGAGAGTGGCTCCTGCATCAGCGCTGGGATTCAAAAAGGGTTTGCAGGCGCATTTTTTTCTCCAAGTGAAGAGAACTGATGCAATTCACATTTTCTCGCTTGCACAAAGCTATGTTTAGAAATTCCTCAAAAATCAAGGAAATGTTTAGAAAAGTCATTGCAATTTCAAAAAGTATAGAGGGGCTGGCATTGTGGCACAGTGGATTAAGCAGTCGCTTGATAAGCCAGCATCCCAGAGGAGCTCCCATTCAAGTCCTGGCTGCTCCACTTCCGATGCAACTCCCACCTAATGTCTAGAAAGCAGCGGAAGGAGGCCTACGTGCTTGGGCTCCTGCCACCCATGTGGGAGAGACCTACAGGAAGCTCCTGGCTCCTGGCTTCATCCTGGCCCAGCCCGGCCCATTGCAGCTATCTGGAGAGTGAACCAGTGGATACAGGATCTTTTTCTCTGTCTCTCCGCCTCTAACTCTGACTTCCAAATAAGTAAAAAAAAAAAAAAAAGCAGATCTTAAAAAAAAAGCACTGGATATTTCTGAGCAGATCCCACAGCCCAGAAAATCCATTACTGTAGAGCTAAAGGATGCCTAGAGCCCTCAGCTCGCAGACTGCAGACTCTCAGGCCGAGTTTAGCCTC